AGGTGCTGGAGTCGCTGGTCCCGGAGGTGCTCGTACTGGAGGTACTGGAGCTGCTGGGGCTGGAGGTGTTGCATCTGGGGGTGCTGCTTCTGGAGACACTGAGGCTGGAGACCTTGGGACTGGAGGTGCTGGTTCTGGGGGTGCTGCTGCTGGAGACACAGAGGTTGGAGACCCTGGGACTGGAGGTGCCGGTTCTGGGGGTGCTGCTGCTGGTGGCGCTGGTCCTGGAGGTACTGGCGCTGGGGGTGCTGGAGCTGCTGGAGGTGCTGCTGCTGTTACTGGTGGCACTGCACCGACGCGACTGTTCTTCGCTCCGCCGTCTCCGTCGTCTCAGCCACCGTCTGACTATGTGCTTCGCCAGGTTCTTAGCCTCCCGTCTTCTACTAGTCGTCCGTTACTGCCTGGCTCACCATTGCCTGCTCCTTCTCCTTGCACTGAGCAGACAGGTGGTGTTGGGTGCAAATTCACTTTGCACGACATCCTGCCGTCTGTTTGTACGAGTATGCGTGTGCAAGTGCATTTGCGTGTGCATGGTATGTTCGTGTGTTTGTTTGCTTTCGCAATTTTCGCTTGAAGCATTTCCAGGTACTCGCGCAATGTGCGCTTCGGCACAACATTGTACGCGTTATGAACAGTGCAAGCAGAAAGGACGAGCTTGCAAAGGAACCCAAGATGGAAGCTTTGCAGTTCGGTTGAGTTGATTGCGCAGATTCAGTTCTATCCAACTCGAAATTGTACTGTTATGTTTGGTTGACTATAGTGTAGCAAGGCAGGCACTATAGGGGTACAATTTAGGTGAAGGTTGGATGTTGTTTGTCTGTATCTGCATGCTGCAAGGCCAGGGGAAACCAGCAGAACCAGCATTTGGCTGGTCGGGCAAAGACAAAAGAACCTGAACCTGGTTGTTGTTTTCCCAGGTTGGAAAAACAGAACCAGAGGTTGTTTTCCAACCTACCACCTGCTGTTTTGTCCAGCCAGGTTGGTTCTGTTGCTTGGAATTATTTGGGATCATCCCTGGTTGTTCCCAGGTTGATTCCCAAGGTCCTTGCTAGCTAGAGCTATTTATTCCTTCTCTGTTTGTACCTGAACATAGTCAATTGATTCATGCGAATTCCTTCCTCGCTGGAATTTTTTTTCTACGCGGTTCGACGGCGGAATGCTACCCGAGTCAACGCTAGTACGCTAGCACTCCAACGCTAGGCAAACGCTGTCCGAGCCATAACTTCGTAATGGCAGAACTTTTCGCAAGGCAACTTGGCTTATTTTTAAGCTCTTGGAGCGAGCTTCGATATAGAGAATTCTCAGCTTAATCCGATCGACGGTCTGCACGGCACGCTGCGTGACGTTCAAGGTACTGTTGCTGTTTTGGCTAAGTCTTTCTTGACTCCTCTCTCTACAAACTCGGACCCGAGGATAGGGGCTGGTCTTGTACCAGACACCCAGGGACCCTTGGAGGTGACCCCGAGGAGAGGTTTTAAGTTTGATTAAGTCCTAATAGCTTGAGTTTATTAGGCCCTCACACCAACAAGCTGGTATCAGAGCTGCGTTATAGCGATCCTCGTTATAGGTAGCTATGGCGGGCAACACCTCGGCAGGAGCTGGTGAATCTTCAGCCCAAGATCGTAGCGGCAGCCAAGATTCTGGTGTTTCGGCGCCAAGGGGAGCGCGAACAAACCAGGGCTCGCTGATCAAGGAGGTGCTGAAGAACTTTACCGTCGAGAAGTTCAATGATGAGGGCTATGATGATTGGGCCTGGAAAATGCAACTCTACTTCCGTCAGATTGGATTGCTGAAACTAATGATTGGGGAGGAGCCTAGACCGAGTGACCCCGCCCTGCAGGAAGATTGGGACGAGCGCGCCTCGGCTGGCTACTACTTGATGTCGCAGAGTTTGGAGCTGAACCAGCGTCATCACGTCATGCACCTGCTGCCGGAGGTTGAGTGCGGTCCGAAGGCGTGGACGGTGTTGAAGGAGCTGCACGCCCCTACCTCCGTCGCTGCGACGCTCATGATGGAGAGGGAGCTGTCCGCGTTGCGCCTGAGCGAGGGAGAGCCGGTGCAACCCATCCTGGACAAGATGCGTGATCTCTACGCGAAGCTGGCGATCGCGGGAATCACCTACCAAGTGCCTGAAGATGCTCTCGCTGCTGCCGGAATCGTGGCTTCAATTCACGAGCGGATTAAGCCTGCCGCAGAACCAGAGCTTGTGGACGCTCGAGTGGGTGCGGACGAAGATTCTGGAGGAGGACTTCCGTCGCCGCCAACTGAGGGGTGGAGACGACGGCAGCAGCGGCTACGGGATGCAAGGGAGCCGACGTGGCAGAGGACGTGGCTTCGGTGGGACTGGACGCGGTGCAAAGAAAGACGACGACTCCAACGACCAACAAGGAGGTACCGGTTGGGGTCGCGGTGCGAAATCTGGACGTGGGGGCAAGTCAGGTGCTGGTGGCAAAATGAAAGGGAGTTGCTGGTATTGTGAGAAGGAAGGGCACCCCTGGTTTTTGTGCTATAAGAAACCCGATGGATGGACCCCCCAGAATCGTCACCAGGATGGCGGCTTGCGGAGAAACCAGAAAAACTGTGCCAATATGGTCGCTGATTCGTCCGACAACAACCCGAAGGGCAACGGCGGTGCGGAGAAGAAGAAGGAGCGCACCGCGGGCCAATTCTTCCATGTGGGAAACAAGGGGGAGCAAGGAGACGCCTCTGCCAAAGTTGGAGCAGAGCTGCACCCCCTGGACTATTGGGTGTTGGACACAGGCGCTGCTTGGACGATGACGCCGCGCAAGGACCTGCTGGACGAAGTACGCGCTGCACCGATCAATGACGTGTACTCCGCCTCTGGACACATGTTGAAGGTGGCTGGTGCGGGACGAGCTGCGTTTAAGGGAGCGGATGGCAAGCCGGTGGTGCTGCACGATGTTCTCCTCGTCCCCGACCTGAAGGCCAACCTTATCTCCCTCCATAAGCTTGGCAAGGCTGGGGTGAACACCAACACGGATGGGGCTCGCACTTATAAGGGGAAGCTGGGCAATCGGGTGCTTTGGGATCTGCACGAGAGCAAGGACGTGTACAGATCTATGTGGCAGCTGCCGGCCCTGGCGTGGCACGGTGAGGGGCAGGCTGGAGAGGGGTCTGCATCCCAGGGGGAGTGCAACGCCGTTGGAGGGGTTGGTGTGAAAGTGTCGGCCAGATCTGGGGAGACAGATTGGGCAACGGCACACCGGCGCTTAGGGCATGTGGCAATGCCTTTGTTGAAGCAGCTGGAGAAGGATGGAGCCGTTAAGGGCTTGAAGCTGAACGGACAACCACCCGATGATAACTGTGAAATTTGCCTCCTTTCAAAGTTCACCCGTTTCCCCTTCCATAGTGTGGCTGGCAGGAGCAAGAAGCCGTTGGAGCTGGTCCACATGGACTTGGTGGGGCCGCTGCCGGTGCAAGGGCACAAGGGGGAGCGGTATTTCCTAACCATAGTGGATGACTGGAGCAGGCTAATGTGGGCGTATCCGCTGAAGCAGAAAGATCATGCCGCCTCCACGATTCGGGACGATTGGCTGCCGTTCGTGGAGAAGCAAGCGGAGTGTGTGGTGAAGCGGATCAGGACAGACCGGGGTGGTGAGTTCCTTGGAGCTGAGATGATGGCCTGGCTCAAGAAGCAGGGCATTCAGAGGGAGCTGACCACGGCTTATACCCCACAGTCCAACGGTGTAGCAGAACGGGCGAACCGGACCATTCTAGAGACAGCTAGGGCGCTGCTCATAGAATCTGGGCTTGGCAACTCCATGTGGCCCCACGCTGTTCGGCACGCTACCGTCGCTAGGAACAGGGTGCTCACCAAGGTTGGGGATGACTCGTGGGTGCCGTTGGAGTGGTGGCTTGGGAGGAATCCGCCAGTGGACATGCTGCGTGTGCCCATCAGTTCCCCCCCTTCCCATGTGTCCTCATCCTGCCTGCAGCCAGCCCCCGCGTGCCGTGCTGAGCGCCCTGCAGCCGCACCACTCACCCCTCCACAATCTCTCCCCACGCACCACTCAACGCCCACGCCACACCCACTCACCCCTCCTTTGCCCTGCTGCAACTGGGCTCACTGCAGCACCAGCATTGCACGCACTGCCTCCACTGAGCAGGCGCGACAGCAGCCGTCCTGGGAGCACAGGGCACCTCATAGGGAAAACTCAACTGCCACGCCTGCACCTCATGTACATGCTAGTGCCTTGCCAAGGCCAAGCACTCTTGTTCTTCCCTTTACCTAGTGTTTGCTAGAGTGGACGCTCAACAAAGGTTCAACAATTATATACAATATGTAAATATGCAAGGTACCTACACATGACATGCTTTGTCACCTACGGCAGTTGCATGGCACCTTGCCTAGTGTCATGACAGGATCTACCGTATTGCTGTCAGATTCTTAGCTTTTGCTCTTCCCACAGCAGTAGCAGCGCTTGGATTGGAGCCATTGTTGGAGTGTGGCAGTGATAGCACAGCAGCGCACAGCAGAGTCATCCTGGGAGAGCACAGCACCACAGCCACAACTTTCCCTCACCCCCTCCAACCGCCACCCACCTGCCCACCCACATTCCCACAAACACCCTGCTGTGAAGCAGGGCGCAAAAATGGTAATGCCACCGGAATCTCCCATCCCATCCACACCACACCCATCCCACCTCCACCTCCACCAGTCGCTGCTCTCTGCGTGTTTTTGTGCTTCCCTGCGCTTACCTGCCTTCCACCCCTCCTCCTACCTTGCTCTTTTTTTTTTTCGTTCAACAACTCTTTTGTCTTTTCTGTTTTCTTCCTTTTTCTTTTTCATGGAAACGGCGGTCCGGGCCGCCATGGGCGCCTTGGGAGGGCAGCCAGCGCGGCCTTGGACGTTCTGCAAGGCGGCTTCACAGCAGCTTCAGCACCTGACCTCCCTCTGTGGAACGGCACACTTCGGCTGCGGAATTCGAGTCGCTCCCTCCACGCGCCTAATCCTCGCTCCCTTGTTGCTTGGTTTCGGGATGCGCGACGGTGGGAGCGAACTTGCTGATGTTGTTTCTGCAGCCTTGGTGCGACCAGCTGACGAGGTTGAGAAGCAAGCCACCAACGCATCCCAAGCCGCTGATTCAGAAGTTGCTGATTCCGAAGCCGCTGATTCCCAAGCCGCCGCTGATTCCCAAGCCGCTGATTCCCAAGCCGCCGATTCCCAAGCCGCTGATTCCGAAGACGGTGATTCCGAAGCCGCTGATTCAGAAGCCGCTGATTCCGAAGCCGTTGATTCACAAGCCGCTGATTTCGACGCTGCTGATTCAGAAGCCGTTGATTCCAAAGCAGCTGATTCCGACGCTGCGGATTCCGACGCTGATTCTGTTGCAGCAGATTTCGTCACAGCAGGTTCCGTCGTTGCGTCGTGGCGAGCGCACGCGTGGTTGCATTCCGCGGCGGCGTGAGCGCCGCGATGGTCGTCGTCGGTGCAGTCGCAGCAGGTGGTCGCGTGAGAGGCGCTGCAGCGGGGTGTTACGGCGGAAGAACGGCAGGCGTCACTCGATCCGCTGCTCGACGACTCGCTCACCGGCTGTACGCGCTGTGATGCCCTCGAGCTCTCCTTGTCGAGACTCTTCCAGAAGCTCAGCGCTGCCGAATAGGAGGAATTCTTCGCGCTGGACACTGAGGCCATTCTTAGGCTGAATGAAAACGGGACCGAAAGGCTGAGAGCTACTGATGTTGGTAACAACTGAAGCTTGCTTGAGGCTGGTGTGATGAGAGAAGTTGGAGTGCGAGCTGCTGATTTGTACTACAAGTAGGCAGGCAGGTGTGAAGGTGGTGAGTGGTGAGTGGAGGGAAGGCAGAGAGGGAAGCCTTGGGGTCGTCAGCAGGCCTCAGGATTGCAGGGCATTTTACCCCGATTAGCCTGTTTTTCAGGGTCGTTTTTTCAGACCACACTGTAAATACAGAATCCACTGGTTCTACCAACCTGTCACGATCAGGCCTGTTGGTTCTTGTAGCACACTGCCTTGGCCGAGTTCCGTAGTGGCAGCACTCTGACTGGAATTTTAGCCATTCAAAAGCTGGCTGAGTCCTTTCCACGGAGACACTTATACATACACCAGAACAAGAATCGGATGTGGTCGAAAACTGGCTAAGTCCTGACACAAGGACACTCACACATAAACCACGTCAAGCATCGGCTGTGCTCGAAAATTGGCTAAGTACTTTCTACAGAAACACTCACATACGCCGCGTCAGGCATCGGAGTGCTCAAAAACTGGCTAAGTTTTTCACGGAGACAGACACTCACACAGACCACTGCAGCCTAATTTTTTTCCCACCCTGCCATACCAGACCAGAAAATATTTAACACCCTGCCATTTCTAGGGTTCGACGCGGCAGCCACACTGCAGTGGCAGTGTGACGTCGACCTGGAATTTTTATTTGACAGAGTGCCCCAAAACGAATCAAGACCCCTGGTCGTCAGGGAGGGAGTCGAGCAGACAGGAGGGTGCACGCTGCGCGCGCTGCCGAGGCAAGAAGGTGTGCCGAAAAATGTGGGTTCCAATCATACCTCGGTTTACTTCGGTAAATCGGCTTCGCGTGCGTTTCTGCTGGTTTCCGAACTTCTTGCCAGAGCAGGTTCGGCCTGACTAATCGGACCCAAACCACTTTCGAGACAGCCCCATAACCTTCGTCATGCTCCCGACCGAAGCAGTTTTTGCTATCGATTTTTGCCTAGCAATTCGCTATGCCATTCCTCGGAAGTCAGTTTGTATACTTCCAAAACTTGATCAAAGTCAGTTGCATTATGATTATTCTGTAATATAGCATTATATAACTGTTAAACTGTAGTATGCTTGTAGGCTGTAGTGGGGTAGCCAATATGGGGTACAACCCCAACTAGGGTTTCATATTTGTACCCAAAACTTCTGCTAGTTCATCATTCTTGCCTAGTGATTCTGACATGGTATTCAGAGCAGGAGGTCCCTAGGACCTACCGATCGTTTTTTTTAGGGCCCACCACCGCTCGCATGCGGTTACCACGCTACCCCGTGCCCTAGCCTCATAGCGCCCTCGTGCGCCCTCGTTAGCGCCCTCGCGCGCACCCTCGTTAGCGCCCTCGCGCGCACTCACGTCAGCGCCCTCGCGCGCCCCTTCGTTAGCGCCCTCGCGCGCCCCTTTGCTAGCGCCCTCGCGCGCCCCTTGCTAGCGCCCTCGCGCGCCCCTCACTAGCGCCCTCGCGCGCCCCTCACTAGCGCCCTCGCGCGCCCCTCGCCGAGCCGCCCGCTCGCAGCCCGCCCGCCCGCTCGCTGCCCGCTTCGCGGCCCGCTCGCTACGCAGCCCGCCCGCCCGCTCGCTGCCCGCTTCGCGGCCCGCCCGCTTCGCAGCCCGCTCGCTCGCTGCCCGCTTCGCGGCCCGCCCGCTTCGCAGCCCGCTCGCTCGCTGCCCGCTTCGCGGCCCGCCACTTCGCAGCCCGCCCGCCCGCTCGCTGCCCGCTTCGCGGCCCGCCCGCCTCGCAGCCCGCTCGCCCCGCTGCCCGCTTCGCGGCCCGCCCACTTCGCAGCCCGCCCGCCCGCTCGCTGCCCGCTTCGCAGCCCGCTCGCCCCGCTGCCCGCTTCGCAGCCCGCCCGCCCGCCCGCTGCCCGCTTTGCGGCCCGCCCGCCTCGCAGCGTCGCCCGCCCACCGTGCTGCCCGCTTGCAGCGCCGCCTGCCCGCCGCGCTGCCCGCTTCCCGGCCCGTCCGCCGCGCTGCCCGCTCGCAGCGTCGCCCTCCCGTCGCACTGACCGCTTGCAGCGCCACCTGCCCGTAGCGCCAGCCTCGCCCGCTGCTCTCTATCCGTGCACAGTCGTCTTCCCCTGCTGCGGCAGCTTGCGTTACTCTGTCACACTGTCGCTATGGCTTCCATTCGCGTGCTGTCGTTCGATGCTGAGGGCCGCCCTGTGCGTTTCACCGCTTGGCTAGATGACCTGCAGCTGTTTCTCCTGAGCGATAGCAAGGAGCATGTGTCGCTCTATGACTACGCGTCTGGTGCTGCGCCTGCCCCTCCTGCCACAGCTGAGCTTAGTGTTCGTTCCCACTGGCAGACTCGTGACGCAGCTGCTCGCCTAGCCATTCGCAGTCACCTGCCGTTAGCTGAGCTAGAGCATTTTGGCGACTGCAAATCCGCTAAGGCCCTGTACGACGCTGTCGTCGCTCGCTACTCCTCGCCTGCCACAGCCGAGCTTAGCCGCCTCATGCTGCCGTACCTGTTCCCCGATCTGTCCACCTTTACTACAGTCGCCGATCTTATCACCCACCTTCGCACTAGTGATGCTCGCCTGCGTGCCGCCCTTCCCACCGAGTTCTGCGCTAAGAACCCCCCTCCACTGTACTGGACACTCCACTTCATAGTCACCCGTCTCCCTGACACCCTCCGCTCAGTTCGAGACCACTTCCTTGCTCGCTGTCCCACTGAGCTCACAGTCGCCCTCCTAGAGGAGCACCTGCTCGCGGCCGAAAAGAGCATTGTAGCTGTCGGTGCTGCTCGTGGCGCTCCTCGCACCCCCATCTTTGAGGGGTGTTCTCCCTCTCCCCTCGCTCCCTCCTACGCTGCTGCTGCTGCTGTTGACTTCCTTGGTGCTGAGTCTGTTGGCGCTGCTTCTACTCCTGGTGGGAGGCGCCGCACCGGCAAGGGCAAGGGGGGCAAAAGTGGTGGTGGTGGCGCTGGTGGGGGAGGAGGTGGGGGAGGTGGGGGGGGAGGCGGTGCTGGAGGGAGCGGTGGCGGGAGCGCTGGTGGGAGTGGGGTCGGTGGTGGAGACGGGGGCGGCGGAGGGAGCAGTGGCAGTAGTGGCGGCGGCGGCGGTGGCGGCGGTGGCGGTGGTGGCGGTGGTGGCGGTGGCGGTCGGAGCGGTGGTAGTGGTGGTGGCGGAGGTCGGAGTGGAGGCACTGGCTCTGGCCAGAGCTCCCAGCAGCAGCAGCGTCCCCAGACGACCCAGCAGCTTCGTGAGTGGCTTGCTCAGCGTGGGACGTCGGGTTCAGTGGCGGACAGCGTGTGGCGATCTGCACGTGCTCCAGGACCGGCCGTCACCTGGCCACGTTCACCCGTCGGCCGGGGTCGAGTCTCTACACACTGACCACTGCGTCTCCCCAGGTAGCTGCTGTCGGTCAGGTGTCTGAGTCAGGTCTGGTGGCCCACGCCTGTGAGTGTCGTTCCCTGTCGCACCAGACTCTTCTCTGGCACCACCGCCTGGGTCACCCCTCCTTGCCACGCCTTCGTGGCATGCACCGTCGCCTCCTTGTGTCCGGTCTTCCCAGGTCCCTCCCTCCCCTCCCTGCCTCGCCTGCGCCGCCTTGCCTTCCTTGCGTCGAGGGGCGGCAGCGCGCCGCTCCTCACTCCTCCTCGTTCCCCCCGACAGAGGCTCCTCTGGAGACCCTCCACCTGGACGTGTGGGGCCCAGCCCGCGTTCGTGGTCAGGGCGGTGAGCGGTATTTTTTGCTGGTTGTCGACGACTACTCGCGTTACACCACGGTCTTCCCCTTGCGCACCAAGGGTGAGGTCCCTGCTGTTCTGATCCCTTGGATCCGCACGGTTCGTCTCCAGCTCCGCCGCCGTTTCCGGACGGATCTTCCTGTCCTGCGTCTGCACTCTGACAGAGGTGGTGAGTTTTCCTCCGACCTCTTGAGGACCTTCTGTCAGGCGGAGGGCATCGAGCAGACCTTCACGCTTCCGGACTCCCCACAGCAGAATGGGGTTGCTGAGCGTCGCATTGGCCTGGTCATGGAGGTCGCTCGTACCTCCTTGGTCCACGCGGCGGCTCCCCATTTTCTGTGGCCGTTTGCTGTCCGGTACGCCGCGCATCAGCTCAACCTCTGGCCCCGTGTCTCCTTGCCGGAGACCTCGCCCACACTGCGTTGGACGGGGGAGGTTGGCGATGCGTCGCGCTTCCGGGTGTGGGGTGCTCGTGCCCTTGTCCGCGATACGTCTGCGGACAAGCTCTCCTCCCGCACGCTTCCCTGTGTCTTCCTTGGCTTTGTCCCTGACGCGCCTGGCTGGCAGTTTTACCACCCCACCTCGCGCCGGGTCTTCGCCTCTCAGGATGTCACCTTTGACGAGTCGGTCCCCTTTTACCGTCTCTTCCCCTACCGCACTGCCCCCCTCCCTCCCCCGCCACTTTTCCTTGCTCCTGGTCCCCCTCCGGTAGACCCCCTTCCCCCTCAGGGTCCTGCTCCTTCAGGTGTCTCTCAGGTAGACCCTCCTCCCGTCGCTGAGCCTGTCGAGGTCACAGGTGACTCAGGTGCTGCTGCGGGTGGTGCTGCTGGGAGTGCTGAGCCTGGGGGTGCTGAGCCTGGGGGTGCTGGGCCTGGGGGTGCTGGGGCTGCAGGTGCTGGGACTGAGGGTGCTGGAGCTGAGGGTACGGTGCCTGAGGGTGCTGAGCCTGGGGGTGCTGCGACTGGGGGTGCTGAGCCTGCGGGTACTGAGCCTGCGGGTACTGAGCCTGGGGGTGCTGCTACTGAGCCTACGGAGCCTCGGGTTACTGTGTCTGGGGGTGCTCCGGTTCGGGGTGCTGAGCAGTCTCTCACACCGCAGCAGCTTCGTGACTGGTACGTCCGACGCTTTCGCCGTCCTAGTGGCTCGGCTGGAGTTTGGGGTGCTGGAGCTACTCAACCTGGGGGTGCTCGTACTGGGGGTACTGGAGCTGCCGGGACTGGCTGTTCTGGGAGCACTGCGACTGGAGCTGCTGGAGCTGGGGACTCTGGCGCTGGCGGTGCTAGCGGAGTTGGAGCTGCCGACTCTGGGGGTGGCGCTGCTGCTGGTGCTGCGGACCCACCTGGTGGAGCTGCTGCTGGTGCTGAGGAGTCGGACGGTGGAGCTGCTGCTGGAGCTGGGGACCCGGCCGGTGGAGCTGCTGCTGGTGCTGTGGACCCGGACGCTGGAGCTCCTACTGGTGCTGAGGACCCGGCCGCTGGAGTCCCTTCTGCTTCTGGAGACGCTGCGCGGCCGCGACCGTACTTCGTACCGCTCCTTCAGCAGGTTCTTGGGCAGGCTCCTCCTCCTTGTCCTCCTCCCTCCGTAGAGTGTCCTCCGCCTGTCCAGCCGCAGTCACAGTTACCGCCTGCCTCGCCTCTCCCTGCTCCCTCTCCTTATACTGGTCCCACAGGAGGTCTTACAGAGCGTCGTGAGCCTGAGTCTCGTCCTGCGTCGCCTGTTCGTCCTGCTCGCACTGGTAGTCGTGTCCGTCGTGAGCGTCCTCCTCCTGTCCCAGGCACTCACTACATGACTCTACGTCCCTCTACTGCTCCTCGGCGTGTCCCTCTACCGTCTCCTCCTGCGTCCTCTTTGCCTGCCGTTCCGGACCCTGAGTCTGACCGGTATCGCGCTGAGCACCCTACAGTCACGCGTCTCCTCGCTACTGTTGTCACTGACCCTACCTTTGAGTCCTCGGCTGCGTCTGCTCTGGTCGCTGAGTTGGTTGACTTTGCTGCTGCCTGTCGTCTAGACTACGCTGCTAGCCTTGTTGCTGAGTCTGAGTCTGCGTCTGTCTGTCCTCCGTCCGTCGGGGGTGAGTGTGCTCTTGGCACGGACGTCCTTGAGGACAGGCAGGAGGACTTTGACTCTCTTGCGGCTGCTGTACCTCATCTCGTGGCCTGGTTGCTTGCCCCTGAGGGAGACCCGGATGCACTAGACATCCCCACTCCGCGCACTTACGCAGAGGCGATCTCGGGTCCCTACTCCTCTCAGTGGCAGACAGCCATGGACGCAGAGATGGCATCCTCGAAGTCCACAGGCACCTACGTCGATGAGGTTCCCCCTCCTGGGGCGAACATCGTCGATGGCATGTGGATTTTCAGGGTGAAGCGGCCGCCAGGTTCTCCGCCTGTCTTCAAGGCTCGTTACGTTGCTAGAGGCTTCAGTCAGCGTCAGGGGGTCGACTTCTTCCAGACCTTCTCCCCCACCCCGAAGATGACCACTCTTCGGGTTCTGCTGCACGTTGCCGCTCAGCGTGACTACGAGCTTCACTCTCTTGACTTCAGCACAGCCTTCCTGCAGGGCAGCCTGCACGAGGAGATCTGGCTGCGCCGCCCACCTGGCTTTACTGGGTCGTTTCCCCCTGGTACCCAGTGGAGTCTCCGCCGGCCAGTCTACGGTCTCCGCCAGGCGCCACGTGAGTGGCACGACACACTGAGGACTACTCTTGCGGCTCTTGGGTTCGCGCCGTCTACTGCTGACCCGTCGCTGTTTCTGCGCACAGACACGTCGCTGCCGCCGTTCTACATTCTCGTGTACGTCGACGACTTGGTCTTTGCTACTGCTGACACTGAGGCACTCGCTCGTGTGAAGTCGGAGCTGCAGAAGAGACACACCTGCACTGACCTGGGTGAACTGCGTAGCTACCTTGGCTTGCAGATCACCCGGGACAGAGCTCGCCGCACCATCACCCTGACTCAGTCACACATGGTGCAGCAGGTCCTTCAGCGCTTCGGCTTCCAGTTCTCCTCACCACAGGCCACACCTCTGGCTACCAGCCACTCGCTCTCAGCTCCACCTTCGGACGAGTCCGTAGAGCCGAGTGGCCCGTACCCAGAGCTTGTAGGCTGCCTCATGTACCTGATGACTTGCACGCGACCTGACCTCGCGTACCCTCTTAGCATCCTTGCTCGTTACGTTGCGCCTAGGAGACACAGGCGAGAGCACTGGGAGGCTGCTAAGAGGGTGCTGCGTTACCTGTGCAGTACATCAGGCATGGGGCTGGTGCTTGGAGGACGCGACAGAGTTGTCCTCACTGGTCACTCGGACGCCTCTTGGGTGGACGACCTGGCTACGCAGCGGTCGTCACAGGGTTACACCTTCAGCCTTGGCTCAGGTTCTGTCTCGTGGCGGTCCACCCGCTCTTCCTCTGTTCTCGGCTCTAGTTGTGAGGCTGAGATCTACGCCACAGCCATGGCTGCACAGGAGTTACGCTGGCTCACCTACCTGCTGACTGACTTGGGAGAGCGGCCTAGTTCTCCTCCAGTTCTGTACGGTGACAACAAGGCGGCTCTTGCCTTGTGTCAGGAGCACAGACTGGAGCACAGGACGAAGCACATTGCTCTTCGCTACTTTCTTGCTCGAGAGCTTCAGCAGCGCGGTCAGCTTCGGCTTGTGTACGTGGACTCGAAGGCCAACACTGCTGATATCTTCACCAAGGCGCTCCCGCCTAGTGATCATCAGCGGCACTGTACTTCTTTAGGCCTTGTGTCCACGTTTCCTCACTTGCTCACTGCTTGACATTCTTTGTACTGTACTTTATATATATCTTGTTGCTTGCTTGCTAGGTTTTGATCACTGTGTTGCTTGTCTTGTACTATATCTAGCACTGCATGTGAACTGGCCTTGTGGCCTTTACTTGTGCTCGGAGTGTGGTGACGTTGTGATCCACCCTGGGCGTTGCTTTGCTTTGCTGGACTGGTCTTGTGACCCTTTGTTCTCCCCCACTTTGCCTATGGGGGTGTGTTAAACTGTAGTATGCTTGTAGGCTGTAGTGGGGTAGCCAATATGGGGTACAACCCCAACTAGGGTTTCATATTTGTACCCAAAACTTCTGCTGTTTCATCATTCTTGCCTAGTGATTCTGACAATAACGGCTGGAAAATCATGCAAATATAGTTAGAAGCCTTTGAAACAGCAAAACTGAATGACCATATTCATACATAATCCTTGACAGATTACCATAGTGGTATCACTCATGTCAGGGTTTAGGGTCTGAACTAAAGCCCTTAGGATCTTAGGGTACATCCGTGTGTCGACATTTGTGTCTCAATCACTTTGTGACACCCAAAAACAGCCTAAACTGTATTGTGTCCCAATTGCGAGTCATGTTTCTGCAACATGTACTGTAGTTTAAATTGGTCATTGTGAAACGCGCTGACGTCGCCGACGAGTTGTAAATTGACCCATCAATTTCAAAAAGTAGTCCGCGGTCCGAAATGTCAATGTAGTTGGACACCCCACAATGACAATTCCGCGCGGGAAAAAAATTCAGCGCGTCAAAACCACACCCCAGCCAAGCGTTTGATGAAAGTGGTGTACAGTCATTTCCGAAACCCAATCAGATGCACACAATTGTATTTTCGCCCGATCGCCTAGTGTCGCGATATATCTAATGTTTGAGACGCGACATTGAAAAAATGTGTAGCACGACTCAGGAAATAGGGCATTGAGACATTTGTATCTACACATGAATGTACCCTTATTGGAGTCTGATCCTTGATAATAATGGTTGTTTGAATAACCAAAAGCTTATTATAAGCATTCCCGAAGGTCTCCTGCCAATCTGCTACTCCTTAACGAAGCAACGCACTGTACCAGTACCGCAATAGCTTATATGGAGCACGCGGAAGATCTAGAGTCACTCGAAGGTCAACAGTCGAAGGCAGTCAAGGGTCGTGACCCTTGACCGACCAGTAACCGCACGGCAGTTAATTGCTGCAACATGGTAACTGTCGAGAATGGCAATAGTCGTGGTTGCTGTAGTTATGCAGTATAGTTAATAAGGGAATGCTATCTCATAGTATATGGCTAGCAAGTTTGCTATTTGATTTCTTGTACTCCTTGTCAAACATTGCATGTTTATATTGTCTAGGCTGTAGTGGGTTACACCTTAGGGGGTACACAAAGTTAGGGTTTCCTACTTGTACCAAACTCTGTTCTAGTTCATCCATTCCTGCTCAGTTATTTCTGACATGGTATCAGAGCAGGTCCTTCGCTAGGACTGTTCTTAGGGCCCACCGACTTACCTACCTGCTTACCTTCGCTTCTTTTCGGCCCGATGCCCCGTCGATCTAGCACGATCTAGCGGCCCTGCGGCCCCTTCGAATTTTTTTTTAGCGGCCTCTCACGGCCCCCGTCGCGTCGCCCCTTAGCGCCCCGATCGGCCCCGTCACGCCGCCCGCGAACCGCACAGCGCGCCGCGCTCACAGCCCGCGACCGCCCCACGCGCAGCCCGCGAACCGCCTGCGCAGCCCGCGACCAGCCCGCGCAGCCCGCGCACAGCCCGCGAACTGCCCGCGAGCAGCCCGCGACCTGCCCGCGAACCCCCGCGAGCCGCCCGCGACCCGCTTACGCAGCCCGCGAGCCAGCCCCGCAAGCCCGTGCTGAGCTGCGCGGCTCGTGCGCTGACCGCCGCCGGCCCGCACGCTGCCCGCACTGCTCCCGGCCCGCCGCTGCCGAGCCCGCAGCCGCCCGCGCACCGCCTCTGCTGAGCCCGCAGCCGCCCGCGCACCGCCGCTGCTGCGCCCGCTGCCGCCCGCGCACCACCGCTGCTGAGCCCGCAGCCGCCCGCGCCACGCCTCTGCTGAGCCCGCCGCCGCCCGCGCACCGCCGCTGCTGCGCCCGCTGCCGCCCGCGCACCACCGCTGCTGAGCCCGCCGCCGCCCGCGCACCGCCGCTGCTGCGCCCGCCGTCGCCCGCGAATCACCGCTGCTGAGCCCGCCCCTACTACGCCGGCTCTCGCTGCCGCCTGCTGCGCCTGTGCACCACTGCATTCCTACTACTACACTTTCTGCTACTACTGCTTGTGCGC